GGAAAACAATCCTGGCCACACCGGACGTCGGCATTTGTAGAAAATACATACAGTAATAAAAAATAACATAGGGAACTAATTAAAAACATCAACTTCATTATAATACGTGACGAAAACTGTTACCGAATCGGTATATTGAGTTGCTTGAATCAGTTCTGATGAAATGGAACGGTTGTTGATTGAAATCTGGCGTTGTTCAAGAGAGAAAAGGTGAAGACGATAATCGATTTTTAAGGTGACGAATTGATACCTTCAATCTGTAAAACCGATTTAGTATAATTATAGTTTTTAATGCAGATTACAAACTTTTGTGTCGGGACAAAAAAAATAAACCATCGAATATACCTAAATTATAACATAATATTAGTAGTTGGGAGCATTTTATAGAGACACGTGTTCAAATAACTATTTTATGAAAAGTAGCTATTTCTTTTGTACGCCATATGATCAAATATAATGACATTCTGATAAATTGGTTATTAACCCTCCGCAAAACATCTATGTCCTAAATGGTTGTACATTTTAATTATATTATTTTTAAAATACTTTATAATTAAATTGATTAACATATTATATTTATACAGATGTGTATATATTTAATAGTTATAAAATGATGAACACTAAACTGTATAGAACATTAAGATTATATCCGTCTTAGTATTAATAAAAGCTAATAAACAAAAACGTCTTTAGATTGTGAGTATAATGATGTCCACCTGTAAGTTACGATATCCCAAATCGTAATAATAATATCGAAACGTATAATTGTTTAGCGTCTTTGACTCGAGATTTTGATGAATTTTTATCGCCAGTGATTTTGTTGTCTTTCGCCAACAATTTATATTTTATTTGTTTACAGCTTCTAAACAGCTTAAAGTTAGTAATTTTTAAGAAGATAACTTATTTATATCGATTATGAGCAGTTAACTTATAATTGCAGGCCCATGCAAAACGCTTGGGAGGCTATTTATTTCGTATATTCATTTACGTACCTGGTCGGTAGAACATGCACCGTATCTTTATACGCTGCGTCGATTAACGACCAAAGCAAAAAGCCTAAAGCTGTTTTATTTTCTGTACCCGCGGAAAGTTATGGGGTAGAGGTAAATTTAAGATTGATTTAAAATACTCATAAATAATTATTTCCCCAAAGATGAAAATGTTTTTAAAAATAAAAACGCGGTTAAAAATAAAAAAAGCTATTGTGTGTTTTATTTTTGAAACAAATTTTTATTCTATTTTTGAATATACTCAAATTTTAAAAATGTCCTAAAATGTAGGTATGTCTATATTTGAGTTGTTAAATAGCGTTATAACGAATCATATATTTGTTTTATTTTTTGATGACAGGTAGCAAGATTTTTAACACAGGTAACAGCTGACGAGTTAGCATTGACAGGATGCAATTTCTTTTCAGTCACTCGGACATTAATGTTAACGGTTGGTGTATTCATTTAAAAATGTCTGATTATTAATTAAAATACTGATGTTTAATATTTATTTGTCACTACTATTTAGGTTGCTGGTACTATAGTTACTTACGAGATCGTATTAATAAAGTTTAATAGCGTTTTTAACGAAGCGACCGATACAAACAACACTTTAAATAATTGCCTATAATATACGATTTATCCATTCATCCATTTGGTACCATGGGAGAGTATAATATTTGTAATTAAACTTGATAAATAAAGGTTTAACAGTTACGAGATTGTTAAAATATTTTTTGTTTTAATAGTATTAGACAGTTGTTCGACTGTTCAATTAAAATTTATAAAAAATAATATAACAATGTGTTTAAAGTATTTGTACATTGGCTTTTTGAGTCATGACCATTGATTTCAATTTGTTAATTATAATCTATTTTTCACTACATCGGTACATAATTTATGAAAGTATTTACACTTAATTTATAGTTATCAACTAACCCATAGAATGTTACTACTTACTACACCATGATGCTACTTGTAACACTTTAAAGAAACAAATTTAATACATAATTATGTATAAAGAAAAATTATATTTTTTTCATTTAAAATTTATATTATAATGTGACTACTTAATACGATAAAACTCTAAAAAAACGACCAACCATCGTAATGAAAATACTAAAAATATTAAAATTGTATCAACTAACCTCGTTTTCCCTTAATATTGTTTGAGTAATTGTTTTTGTCGGTTTGGTTTTGGTTTTTAAATGTGAAATACAGGATCTATTAATTGAGTAAAATGAGTTGCACTAATAATGTATAATGCAATTGCAATAATTTAATTTTTAGAAATTAAATATATTTTATTTACCAATTATTTATAAAATGTATTTTTAAAATGGATTGAAATTAGGCCCAACAACATGATCATCCTGGTTTTCCATGACATAGAGTTCGTTTTTCACGGTTATTAGAACAGTGTACGGGGTCGGGAAATTCGGTAACTAGAGAACAATCGTGGCCACACCGGACGTCGGCATTTGTAGAAAATACATACCGTAATACAAAATAACATAGGGAACAAATTATAAACATCAACTTCATTATAATACGTGACGAATATTGTTGACAAATCTGTGTATTTAGTTGCTTGAATCAATTCTGATCAAATGGAACGGTTGTTGATTGATGTTTGGCAGTGGTCAATGGAGAAATGTTGAAGAAGATAATCGATTTTTCAAGTCATGAATTAAAAGAATGATAACGTTAAGTTATACAATTGATTCAGTATAATTATAGTTTTTAACGCAGATTACGAACTTTTTCGATCATTGATTATACCTAAATTATAACACAATACCATGACCGGATGCAATTTCTTTTCAGTCACTCGGACATTAATGCTAACGGTTGGTGTATTCATTTAAAAATGTCTAATTATTATTAAAAATACTAATGTTTAATATTTATTTGTCACTACTATTTAGGTTGCTGGTACTATAGTTACTTACGAGATCGTTTTAATACAGTTTAACAGCGTTTCCAACGAAGCGACCGATACAAACAACACTTAAAATAACTGACCATAATATACGATCAAAATTGTGAACAAAATAGAAAAAAATGTATAGCAATTATGCTATTTTTGTATATTTTGTTGATAACATAACAGCATTATTTTAATCCACTTTACGTTTAGTTTTAATTTTTTGTAGGTCCAAATTTAACTTTATTCAGTCGTTGTTTTACATTTCTAATTTCCGTATAAATGTTTTTTTTTTTTTTAATTAATGTTTTTTTTCGAAATATTAGAGTCAACTGGAATGGCAAACTTTTGAATAAAGTCGAACCTTCGTTTTATTATAAAAATGTGGAAATGAAAAATATTAGCCAGACTATGGAATTTGTGTGTATAATTTCGTATCTGTGTAATAACAGATGAATGATAGTAAAGAAAAAGTGTAGGTACCTTTTACAAGTGGCTCCAAGTCCTAATTTAAGGCCGTACTCTTCTTTAAAAATGTATGTGTGAAGGCAACTCGGTTTGGATTACTTTTGGACCAATGTTTAATTTCCAAACCGAACAAGTACTTGATTATAGAAATAAAAATCTATGAAAACCATAATTTCGGGCATGAAATGGCTTGTGTTTAGTTATTGCGGCCTCTCGAAATTTATTTTGCCTGAATATAAAAAAGTAATGTAATAATATTACATTTTTTCAGATACATAGATATAACTTTGAAAAGTTGAAAATAAGTTTTATAAATTATTAATATTAAAATAAATTTAAACGTTGGATTACATGCAGGCATTGTGCGTGATCCACGAAATATTTTTTTATATATTTACCCAATGTAGATAAAAAAATGTATAGAACCATAAAATTTATCTAGATAAATAATACGGTTAGAAGAGGGAGAGAGTATAAAATTTGTAATTAAACCTGATAAAAAAAGGTTTAACCGTTACAAGATTGTTAAAATGTTATTTTTTAAATAGTATTAGACAGTTGTTCGTTTGCTAAATTAATATTTATTAAAAATAATAACACAAGGTTTTTAAAACATCTGTACATTGGATTTTTAAGTCATTACTATTGATTACAATTTGTTAAATACAATCTATTTTTCGCTATATCGGTATATGATTAAAGTAAGCATTTACACGTAATCTATAGTGTAACAATTAACCCATAGAATGTAACTACTTACCATGCCATGATGCTGTTGTAAAATTTTAAATGAACAAATTTAATACTATATATTGTGTGAAAAAAAAAATATAATTATTAGTAAAATATGCTACTGTATAGGATGTAACCTTAAAAAATAGACTTACGGCCATTATAAAAATAATAAAAATTTTCAAATTGTATTAACTAATCTCACTCTCCCATAATATTATTTAAGGAATAAATTCTGTCAGACTGGTAAAGATTTTTTAATGTGAAATACAGGATATATTAATTGAGTAAAAGTAGTAGCACTAATAATGTATAAAGGAATTGAAATATTTTAATTTTTGGAAATTAATTATATTTTATTTACCTATTATTTATAAAGATGTATTTTTAAAAATGAATTTTAGTTAGTGGCAACAACATGAACATCCTGGTTTTCCTTTACATATATTTTTTTTTTCAGGGTTACTAATACAGTACTCGGGGTAGGATAAATCGGTACTT